GATAGAAGAGACACAAAAAACTCGTCTTCTCTCATTTTTAACTTCCAGATATAAATTTTATAAAAATGTTAAGCTTACCCTAGAATCAAAAATGTTTCACCGCCTATGGATTCGACTTGACTACTCAACCTTGATCAATTTTGAGTGAAATCAAAATATTTCACATTTAGTATTTCTAATCTGGCAAACTAAATACATGATATAGAGAGCTAATAAACTATGAATATGGGCAGACGTTTTGACGAAAATCATCTTGAGATATTAGAAAAAGCAAGAGAGTTATCGGTTAGATGTATCAGTGACTTTGAGTGTCATTTTACTTTTCTAAGAAATAAATTATGAAAATGATATAATTATTATCGGTTGTCAAAAAAATACAATAGCCGTTGGATATTTTTGCAATAACTCCAGAACGAAGAGAGCTAGAGAGCTGCGATTTTCACCATTGAAAAGAGAAGATACGGAGCCATCAAAGCACATCGAAATTTAATTGACCAATCGTATGAGTTCTTAGTGCAGATTTTCGAAAACTATATTCTGAAGCTGTTTCCTTTCCACTTTAGACTTGTAATAGAAATATTCGATAGATAAAATACTTCTTTTTTGGTCTAAAACAAATATCATCATTCATCTCAATATAGTGCATTATCCCTGCCTAGCTACTTTTCTGGGTGATCATAGGTCAATTGACTAGAATTGGGAGTCTGAAGAAAAGTCTTGTAACTCTCGAACGGAACAAGCTAGGAATCTCAGCCTTGCATAGAACGAAACAAAAGGATTTTTTCTATTAAATAGTTCTATTTAAAGTCTGAATCGGAAGGAAAATAGCCTTAGAATACTTTTTGGATATCTTCATCAAGAACTCACCTGATTGATCAATTACTGATCAATTAAATTTCGATGACCCTGGGTCTTCTTCTCTCTCGAATGGTGAAAACCATAGCTCTCTATCTCTTTTCGTTCTTGAGTTATTGCAAAAATACCTACGGTTATTAGATTTTTGAACAAACGATAGTTATACTGTTTTGTTAATCATAGGTATAATTCAAGATTCATTTAAGTATCTTAAATCATTGAATTATCTTGATTTATCAAATACAAATTTACTTGATCTTGATGCATGTATATTTATTCAATTAACTGGTTTAAAAATACTTTCAATAGAACATATTTTATTTAATTGTACATCTTGTTGGTTTTCTATAGCTCGAAAAAATTCTTTACAAATATTTGGACAATGTTTAAATGAGAAAATAATACAAAATATTAATTCTCTTACTGATAAACAAATTCAATATGCTTGTTCAAAATCATCAATTGATTGTTCATTAGATTATTGTGAACCTGGTTCAATAAATTATCAACAAAAATCTAATCAATTAATTTCATTAGTTAAAAATTCTCATATAACAAAAAAACGTACAATAGAAATTATATTTAGTATTATATTTAGTATAATTATACTTATTATTATGATTATTACATTGATTATTTTCATATCTCGATGGAAACAAAATAAAAAATTATTTTGTTGTCATTTTTCTCAAATAACAACAACAACAACAACAACTGAAGAAACACGTCGTCGTCGTCAACAAATAATCGATAATAATCCAACTGTAATCGAATCTGTTGTTACACATGGTGCAAATATGAATGTACCATCATATTCATGTCAAAATTATGCAAAATTTAATGATGAAACTTCAAATAATAAACGAAAACTCTATAATCCTATGTTTGCTGATTCTCCGACATTAGATATTCGACATCAACAACAACAACAATCAGTTATGGTATCGAATGACAATACTTCTCATAATAGTCAATTGTATTCTGAAAAACTATGATCAGAAAAAAACAAAAAAATGAATTGAATGAAAGAAAAAAAAAACGAAAGAGTGTAAATGAATATATACGTCTGAATATAGAATATATAATCTCATATGTGTACAAAACAATGCCATGTTTTGTTTTAACATAAATGAATTATGTCTTGATGTATTTGAAAAAGTAACGAAGAAGAAAAAAAAAACACATAGTGAAGGACAATATAAAGAAATATTTTATTATAGTAAACAATAATCAATACAAAGCAAAAAGGAAAATGTAAGATAATTAAATAAAATATCTTTCTTTTTTATTTTTCCATTAAGAAAATCTTCACTGACATTGAAATAATGTTTAAGTTTTAAAATTAAATAAATAAAAAAAAAACTGTTAGTACAATCCCTACGGAATTAACATATGAAACACGATGTATTTGCTGTTTCTAATTACAAGAAGATTGCTTTATTCTATCTATTTTGGGACGTATTTTTTCAATTTCCTTTTACTTAATCCTCCAGAAATGCATTAAGTAAGTAGTTCACATATTCATAGCTCGACGTTATTAACATACTGTCTGTGTCGTAGGTAGGAGGGGGAGTAGGAGTGCTGCTAAGGCGTCTATGACGGTCTGTGACGTTCCCATAGTAACGTTTATCACAGTCTGTGTGATTGTGTCTAACTGATGTCTGTAGAGAGGTGAGTCCAAATTTTTACCGCTCTACGTTAACACTCCTTTCACATCGTGTTTCATGAAAGTTTGAATTTGTGTCTATTGTTTGTCATATATTTATGTCGTTATTCTATTATGAATAAAAATTTTATTATTTACAATAGAATTATGACTACTCGATATCATCTTAATACTGATCATTGGAGTAAAATGCGCATGAATGTAAGTAATATCATATCTCATATTATTTATTTTTTATGAAATTTTCTAAATAAATAGATAATAAAAAATACTATTAATATTGAACATCGTGGACGTGTTCTTAGTTGGGAAAAACATAAAAAGAAAGCTGCACAAAATGAACTCGAAGCAGCTGTACGTGGTACACGAAATTTACCAGAGAATGATATTGGACCGGTACATAATTTTCAAGATATTCTTACAATGGAACTTAATGAATATGTACCTGGTAGTGCATATTTTCGTCGACATACAGAACAAAATTTAGAAAATATTAATGAACATAAGAACAAGATGACACAATGTAAGTTTTTTTATTTTGATAATAGAATTTTAAATTAATATTTTCATTTTGATAAATTTTCATTTGTTAATTAAATATTCTTATATAGAATCAATTATATTTTCAAAATTTGTTGTATATGTATTCAATCTTGACTTTCTTGATTTTAAGATATTGATCAAAGTCTACGTAGATAACAGAATCTAATTTTTCTTCCATTGAATTGAATATTTTTTAATACTTACATTTCACAAAGTCTTAAGATTATCTCTTTTGTTACGTTCTCATGTTGAATAAGTAAATGTTTTTTCATTAAATGCATATATCTAATCATATATGATATAATTACGTTGTATATTAAAGTTTTCTTTTTGAACTTTTGCATTTGATTTTATAATGTTTTATTTCTTTTATAGTGGGTCATCCATTAATGACTGGTTCACAATATACTCTTATGACATTACCAACAAATCCACAAAGTGATCAAACAAGAAGTCGTGTACCTGTTTTACAATGTCGTGGAAAAATATAATTATTTTTTTATTTGCATAGAAAAATTCATGATGAAAATGAACAATAAATACTATTAACATAATTGATCTTTAAGGGGACTCCCCCCCCATTTCCGGACCCAAAATTTTCAAATTTTTCATTTTTTTTGTTTTTTCTGCTCTACATGTGTTTTCAAGTGCCCTCTGTCTACTGGTAACGTTTTGAGAACTCAAATATAGCTCTAAAGCAAAAATAAAATCGAAAAGATAAATCGATTGCCGTAGGGTATAGCACGATTTTTTCTTTCCTTCGCGGTTTCCTAGAAACCAGATTTTTCAGCAAAAATCTACAGAATCGCCCCCGTTTCTCAGGAACAGTAAATCCGATCGAGCTGAAATTTTTTCTACAGATAGTAGAAACACTTTAGGGGGCCTAGTTTTTTTTGTTTTGAAAAATATTGTACCGTTGAGTTTTGGCAGGCCTTACAAGACAAGCACTATTCAAAAAAAATATGGATTTTTTAGGGTGCTCTTGGTATTTTGGCTTTTTTATTCGAACGGTAAGTGATAGAAAGAAACCAAAAAAAGTAGGCCCCCTGAAGTGTCTCTACTATCTGTAGAAAAAATTACAGTCCAATCGGATTTACTGTACCTGAGAAACAGGGGCGATTTGGGGGTCGATTTTTAGCCATTGCAACCCCAATATCTCCTAGAAAGAAGCATTTGGGAATTTTGAGTCTATGACAACTTTTACTCTACACATCGAGATCTATCAGCTGTGAAAGTTTCAAATTTTTCTGATGAGCCGTTCTCGAGAAACCCCGGAAGGGGGGGGGGGGGGTGTCCCCTTAAATAATTTTTGTTTTTGCTTTGATTTAAACACGACAAGAACTTTCAGATTTATATTATATCATGTCTTCTGAATAAGATAATATAAATTTAAAAATCCAGTTGAATTTCGAGAGGAAAACAAACGAACTTTTTGTTCGACTATCATTTTACTTACAAGAGAACATATCCAACTGGTACTTGTCGATCGAAGTGATATTTTGCTCATAGATAGGTCTGAGTGAGACTAGGAAAAATTTGAAACGATTTCTTCTCATAGACGACGTTCCATATAGAGTTATGATCATTTTCGATTTGCGACGAGGTATTCATAGACAAACCACAAAAAAGAATTTTTCACTTGAACTTTTGTCTATAAATAGATCTCTTGAAAGTTTCAACCAAATTAGATGGTTCCTTCTCAACTAGAGCCCGTTGGGTCAAAAATTTTCGAACCCGAACCAACTCGATGAGTCCTAATTGAAAAGGAACCATCCGTTTCGACTAAAATTTTCAGAATCAAGGGATCTATTTATAGGCAAAAGTTCTGATGAAAAATCCTTCTTTTTAAGTATTCTATGAATACTTTGCCATGAACTGAAAATGGTCATAACTCTATAAGGAAAGTTTACACTCTTTCATTAGTTTAAAAATCAGACACATCATCTTTAAACATGATTAGATCGTCGGAAAAGAATTTTGACTTAAAGTCTTGTATGAGCTTAGTATCTTAATGTTTCACTTGAAATCAAATCAAATAATAAACCATCATTCCTACTTCAATATCTGACAAATGCATTTAATCATCAAACCATTCTCATTTATTATACATAGCTTAAGAAAAGTTGCTTGTGCCTGCCAGAGATGTTCATCGCAACTGAAAATCTGCCGCTGCCGTGCTGCTGCCGCGATGAATTGTAAAATAAACGTGCCGCTGCCGCACCGTTACCACGATGGTTTTCAAAAAAGTATTTCTAATTTCACTGCTGTGACTATATTTGACCAGAAATATTGATACTAGTTCATCAGATTCATTCAGTCTCGGGGTATTTCATTTGTAAACCCTGAAATTCAATTAAATTCATGCAGTTTTTCAATATCCTCCAAAAACATGTTGCCGCCACCGCCACCACGGCAGTACCGCCGTGAACATCTCTGGTGCCTACAGACATCTATTGTTTCTCTCTATATTTAAACCTTATGATTGATCAATGAAATTGTTCTTTTTTTTTAACATTTAATATGCGTGCACACCATATGATATGCTAATACGATCTATTTACAATTGATTGGTGAATTCATTTACATTTTTCGATTATATTAACAATGGGAAATACCCATAGTGCTAGTAGTGGTAGTACATTGAAAAAACATATTGAAACAGCAACAAAAACTGGTGTACTTCAATATGATAATAAAAAACTTAAAGAAGTAAGAAAAAATATCAATTGAAAAATAATTTTTTGTTGTTGTTTATAATTTTTAATTATTTATTAGATAAGTCCTGGTCTTTGTCTGCCAAATTTACGTACATTATCATTAAACGATAATGAACTTCAAACAATTCCTATGGAAATTAGTTTAATGGTTAATTTAAAAAATTTAAGTCTTCGAAATAATCAAATCGGTAGGACTTTTCTTTTTGAAAATTTAAACTTATCATTAATAAAGTAATCAGAAAAATGTAGAATGAAGTTCAGACAATTGATCGTGTCTTTTGAGATCCTCTGGAAATGCTTCTAAACGGGACCGAGCCGTCTCTAGTCCTCATCTAGTTACGATTCTATTTCTCATCAGAATATAAATGTCAGTCATATAAAATAGTTTCAAAGCTGATTTGTAATCTATTCATCATAATGAATAAGAAGAATTTAAATCTTGTTTTATTTCATTAGTTCAATTACCTGATTGTTTTGGTCAATTGAAAAAACTCGAAAATATTCAATTAGGTCAAAATCAACTTCGTTCATTACCATCATCATTTACTAATTTAAGTAGTTTAAGACAATTAATCTTATCAAATAATCGTTTTACAACTATACCTGAATCAATACTTAAATTACATAATTTACAATTACTTGATCTAACATCAAATCAAATAACACAAATTCCAGATCATATTCAAACACTTCAAGTTGATGAATTAAATCTTAATGATAATCGAGTAAGATAAATTGATTTTTTTTTGGTCAACATTTATTTATTTATTATGTTTAGATAATCAAAATATCGGATCAACTTCGTTTTTGTCCTCGTTTAAAAACATTACGTCTTGATAGAAATAATCTCGATTTGGATACAATTCCAGTTAGTTTATTAACTGATTCAAATTTATCATTACTTTCATATGATGGAAATCGATTTGATGAAAAAGCTTTTCAAGGAAAAGAAGGATATGATAAAGTAATGATATTATCAACAATAAGAAAAGAAAATTTTTCTAAATTTATTTTGTATTTTTTTTTAGTATATGCAACGTTTTACAGCAAGTCGACGAAAACTTGAATAGACACATAGTTTTTTTTTTGAAGCGTATTTTTATTTTTATTGTATACATAATTTTTATTGTCGTTTATATTAATATAAGAGCAAATATATTGTCACATTTAATCATTCGTATTTACTCTGTCTTACATGAGTGTATGTGTTTTTTTCATTTATCTTCCAAAACAAATATTCAAGAAAAGAATATCATGAACCATTAAGTATTATCGTTTACATTTACTTGCTCTCTCGATATGTATGAAAAAAAAGTTTTTGTCAGTATATGGTACTCAGATAAGTTTAGGAATGTATGATGACACATAGTTTACAAATTGCAATAAGTAAGAAGCGGAAAACTGATCTATAAATCTAAGACAAGTGATACGCCTCTGATGACCAACTATAGAGGCATCAACTTCATGCCACTTGCAGCTAAAACATACAAACAAACTTTGATAAACAGAATATGAGAACTACTTGATTCGATCTTTATATGTCATTCGTAGGCTTTTCGAAAGCGCAGCCGATAAGCAACTATCAATCTTTGTCACGTTCGTCGATTCTCAATAAACAAAAAAAAAACAATGTTTGACATTCTCAGACTCGATGGAGCGACCATCAAAATAATGAAAGCAATCGAAGCAATTTATCAGAAATCTCGGAGCACGATTCCCATGAAAGGCAACGTCATCGAAAAACTCGACGTAATAATTGATGTCCTACAAGGAGACACTTTTCTCTTCACAATTGTAGAGAACCAGAAAGTTAAACACGAGAAAAGATGAGCACGAAAAGGAAAATTACTTTAGACATGATGATAATAGACAGCCCGAGGAGAAGACAGCTGATTTTAAGATTGCAAGACTTCAGAAGACCTTCGAGACTTCACCACTAGACATCGGCGTGACCAAAATGTCATGACCAAAGAAAAAAAAGTTATTCGATTATAGTTTCAATAATAAATGTGAGAACCGAAACCTATTTAACTATTCTTGTTCAGAATTTTCTTCTCTTCAAAATTATATATAAAAGTCAAAGAATCTGATGATCCATAACAGAGAAACTTGCATCACATTAGTCGTGACTAGTGGCGGCGCCAGACTACTAGCGCCCCTCTTGTTTTGGGAGGGGAGCAGTGGAAGGTGGCGCCATCTCTACGTATGTCGTGTTCTCCAGGATACAAATCAATAGTAGAGCCGCTAATAGCGGAACTAGAACATAAGCTTCTCTCTTCTTCTATTAAGAGTAGGAGAATGTCCTTCTACTATATTGACACCGTGTATTCTTGATTACAAGGCACGCGTGTTGTGGGTGCCACCTTCTACTGCCCCCCCCCCCCCAAACAAGAGGGGCGCTAGTAGTCTGGCGCCGCCACGCCACTAGTCGTGACCAGAATTAATCGCGACTAATGTGATGTGATTTTCTCTGTTATGGATCATCAAATTCTTCGACATTTATATACCATTTTGAAGAGAAGAAAATTCTGAACAAGAACAGTTAAATAGATTTCGGTTCTCACATTTACTATTGAAACTATAATCGAATAACTTTTTTTTTCTTTGGTCACGACATTTTGGTCACGCCGATGTCTATTTACGACTGAAATCCTTGCTGTTTCTCCTTCGGGGAAGACGAATGCTGAGTGTAGACGTAGAGTGGTTGACTGTTGGTGGAGGTATGAGTGAATGTGGGTGTGAATGGTATGGATGGCTATGAGCCCGCAGGATGTATATAACAGCTTGATCTCCTGTTCACATTCACAATCACTCAGTTATCTCACCGACCCTCACATCCCTACCTCCACCTAACCGTCCATCCCATCGGCACCTACTTGCCCATCCTTACCTGCACTCACTCGTACCTACCCTCTCTACATCCCTTTCCCCACCTACATCTACACCCAACATTCGTCTGCGCATTATCACCATGTCTAAAGTAATTTTCCTTTTCATGCTCATCTTTCCTCTTGCTCAACTTTCACCAATCCGACAGAAAGAATTGGTACAAGATTGTTGTCGTCTGCAAACCTAGTTCGTTCGTAGATAAATGATGATAATGGTTTATATATAAATAACGCGTATGGTTAAATTATTTTGTGTAATTGAATTATTGTCCAATATTCTATAAATAACATGAGGTTTATCGATAAATTAAAATTTGATTAGTGAGTCCGAATAGATAATTAAATTATTAAAACATATATGTGGTTTTAGTCCTTGTTTTAATTATTATTAAAAATTGTGTTTTTATCAACAATATTATAATCATTCAATAATTAAATATGAATACATTGTATTCAAATGAAGATGTGAATATAGATATATTTGATTTGTATGGAAAAAACATGTGAAAACTTAAAAAATCAAAATCGAGATTGTTTGAGAAAGAAAACATTGTGTCGACCGATCAATAAAGAAATTCTCTTCTAAATAGTAATCGTTATATGCACAATGAATAATTGAAATGAATATTTTATTAATGAACGATCGATCGGTTTCTAGAATATAAGTTAATACTACTAAGATATATATATATATTTTTTTTTAATACTTTATGAATCTCTTCTTTACAATTTATCAGATCGAAAATGAGAAAATCGGCATTTTATATATGTTTCCAATTGAATAAGTATTAGAATATATGAAGTAATTGCTATTTCTTTAAGCATGTTTTTTTATATGATTTTTTTAATGATTGATGCATAAAAAAGCCGCATAAGTGTCCCAAGATTAGATAGATGACATGTATAAGAAAATGTCTCACCGGGGTATTATGTAGTTTTATTAAAAAAAAAGACTCTTGTGCCACTTGTTATGAACACTATAAAATTAATTTTCAGCAGTTGATTGAGAAGGAAGGGAAGGTAACAGTATGCGTCATTCTACTTTCGTAGTCTTTCGATACATGACATTTATATATTTCTTCTTTGTTCGATTTAGTGACGAATCTTCTGAAACTTTACGATTATTTGAACAATTTAACCCATCAGAAAAGGATGACCTTTGAATTTTTTGTTTTTACTGTATGACATTTTCTTCTTAGAATAAACAAAAGAAATTTCGTAGGTTTTTTAGACGTTTCTTTTTTCTTTTTTAATTAACATTTAAATTAATATATATTATCATAGTTCATCAATTCATATTCACACTGTTTTAAGAGTAATTTATTCATGTGTTAGTCTATATAAGTGTTCACAGAAAAATTGCAATGAATTGTTGCCTTATTATCACTATATTTACTTCTTGTCTCAATGCTTATAGAAAAAAACAAGAGCAAAAGAAAAGAACATATATATATATATATATAGAAATGGTCGATCTAGTTCTTCATTTTTTTTAATGGAACGACTCATTCCATATTTTATTTTTTGCTTTACTTCTTGAATGATAGTGACAATCATATTTGTTATTACAATGAATCGTGCGTGAGGATGCTGATGGTTGATGAAGATAATATAACAATGTTCTCCTTTTTTTTTCTTCTCTTAGCTTTTTGATGGAAAACAAGATGAATTCTTTTCCTGTCACACCTATTGTCAATGGGTTGTCAGAATTGATAGAAACGAACTCGTTTTTTTTCTTTTTTATTAACCATTATCATTCATTCATTAATATAGAATGAGAAAAAAATAATAGTGAAAAGATAGGGATGTATAAAGGATCGGCATAAATAAGAATAAAAAACGTAATCCATTTATGCATCAATATAACATGCTATTATAATCATCTTTTTTCATTATAACAAGACATAGACTTTTTCATTGGTTTTCTTATCAAATACTTTATGAATTACTTATTAAATGAGAATTTTGTTTTTTTGGTTGTATCTTAAATACTCTGACAAAGGATAATAAGAAGCAAAAGAAAAGAAAGAAAGACTTTTATCCTCCGCTAACATCTCTTCAAAATGTTCTTATTGATTCATAATTACTCAGCGAAAAAAAGTTTTTCCTTTTTTTTCTCTATCTCGCTATTTTTCTCGTCTTTTTCCGAGCAATGAAAGGGCAGCATGGTTGACATCAAAATAACAACAATGTTAAACATCACCACTATTATTCACAATTATATTCTCACATTCGTATAGTAACTCAATATGACTTATTTATCCTATTCATCTTTCTTTTTTTCATCAATATCTTATTATCGTTTCGTAACTATTCTATGTATTTTACTTTTAAATCCATTACCTTTTATTAATTGTATATCAATGAAGAAAAGCAATACTAATCTAAAATTACTACGTCAAATTAATTTTAATGATGATGATGATATAATGTTGAATAAAAATATTTTTCTATCTAAGGAAAAATTTAATTTTCAAAGATTATTAGGTTTGATATATTTTTAATTATCAATGAATAAAGAAAAATAATCTCTCTTATATATAAATAGGTTGCAAATATGATTCAAATCTATGCAATCAAAACGAAGCTTGTTTTGACGGTAAGATTTTTCTTATATTCTATTAAATATTCCGAATATAAGAGAAAAATTAGACATAATATAAAGCTTTCATTTATGCACTAAAGTCATTACTAATATGTTCAATTCTTTTTCCTATTTTTTCGATTAATTTACCATTATCTCGTATATGTTCTCTTGCTTTAAAAATGATAGTGTTTACGTCTAATCTAGATTGATTTATAAAATTTTGTTTTGATGTTAAACTATGTAAAATTTTTATTCAAGATGAATATTTGCCTTTTTTTGTTGTACTACTCAAAGGTACTATATATAGTAAAAGAATTATTCAGCTATCAAATCAAGTATTGACATATATATAATTTTATAAACATGTAACTATTTTTGATGTCGAACATTGATAAGTTGTTCTTGACAATTAAATTAATGCTCTTTTTTTTTTTTTTCTTCTATAACTAAGACTTCTAAAAGTGTCCTTCATATAATTGAGATAGAATTTTGTAAGTTCGATAATGACTTTCTCTTTATTTTTTTTTCTTCTTTTATTCAAGACTTTCTAATAGCGAAATTTATTATTATACCGACAAAAATTACTAGGTTTATTAGTTGTTCTAAAAGTCTACATAACAATCTTATTTATTTAAGTAGAATGTTATGTAGATATTGGTTTGTAATAATGAATATTTTTTTTTTTTGTTTTTGAAGGATATTTACTTTTAAATAAACAACTTATTAAAAAAAAATGGTTAATTGATTCTAACACATTCGTTTCTTTAAAGTTTGACTGCTGTTATATCATTCAATATATTAAAAACAAAAAAAAAAAGAAAAGAACAGAACTTATTTTTTAATAATTTAAATGACTTTTTCTATTTTTATACAAAATTAGATTGATTTTTTTTTTTTTTTTTTTTTTGTCTTTTCAATCTAGATGAACTTTTTGGACAATGTTGGGATGGTAAAGGATCATTACGAAAAATATTTACATTAAAAAATAGTGTTGATAGAATTACAAATAATCAATTAATTGCATTAGATTATACAATAAAGTTTTTAAAACGTTATCATCTTAATTGGAAAGATTATATGACACAATGTATTCTAATGCATATATTAAATGATTATTATCAATTAAATTTATATCAATTAGAATTATTCTATATTGATTGTTTAAATAAAGATGAATTATTAAATCAATTTGTAACAATAGAAAAAGAAAATAATAATAATATTAATCGTCGGTATATTAAACAAAAACATAGTAAAAGATATTTGTTTGTTTTTTTGTTTTTGAATATTTTTTTTTTTTTTTTTTGTAGAACTTTATCATAAAGATCCATATGCATCACTTATCAATTCTAAAAATTTATTTTATAATTTTGATAATTCATTATTTATGAAATTGAATGAATTATCTCGTTTAAAAACAATACCTGAAAAACAATTTTTTATTAATAATGATGATGATATTGTAGTAAAAGAAAAACCAATAAAATTAATTACACAAGAATCTAAAATGAGTAATTGATTTTATTTAAACAAAAAAAAAAAAATCGAATAATTTTATTTTATTGTTTATGATTTATTTTAAGATGAACCAACAAAAATATTAATGCATATGAAAGAAAATTATCCTGATTTAATAGAAACATTAAAAATTAGTACTAATAAACAATTAAAACCAATATTAAATTCAAAAACAATTCGTATGAATTTTTTTTTTCTTTTATTGTTGAGATTAATATTTCTATTTCTTATCATTGTAGAAATTAATAATAAGAATCAAAAATTTAATAGTACCGATGCAGAACGTTATTTTACCGTTGAAACAGCCCGCGGTTATATTATTATCAATCGAGAGTATGAATATCTATATCTATTTTCTTTTCTTTTTTTGTACTATTTATATTTGTTTATCTAGTTTTAAAAACCAAATGGAAGGAGCTCAATTATTGGCACTTATTGCAGACATTAATCGTTGGCCTGCAGCAATATTTACTGAACTTAAGTATGATAATAATAAAAAAAAAAAACCTATTTTAAAAATTTTTAATTATGTTTCTTTTCGAATGAAGTGTTGATCGACATTTATTAACATTTCATGTTTTGGATAATGCTTATCAAATAAATGCAAGCAATGTTGCTAGTTCAGCTTGTAAGTTATTTTGAAGACAGAGAGAGAGAGAGAAATGTATTTTCGATGTCAATTGTTTTATAACTGAAAGCTTATATAATAAATTAATGAGAAGAAATAGTAATCAATTTAAATCTTTCGAAATAATGAATAATCGGAAAGTTTTTTTGATCAAGATTTTTGTTTATTTTTTTGACCCGGTAGAAAATGTCAAAAGCTATGAGTTAGGGGTTTGGTCTTTTCGAATATGGACTTAGAAATATTGTGTCTATTGTTTTTTGGGACTTTTTGAAAGATCTGAAAAATTATTTTTGATGATGAGCCAACAGATTTTTCGTTTATTCTATAAGTCTCTTTTCGAACATACTAAAAATTGTTGGAGTCAGTCGTTTTGTACAGTGGATACTTTTCTACAAAATTTGATATTGAATTAAGCTGTAGCTTTCGACTTGCAATAATAAAAACGCAAAATTTTTCGTTTCTAATTAATTTGTTGAGCTTTGCAAAGACTATTTCATTATGCGAACAAAATTTCTAAGTCCATATTCGCAAAGAGTATCCTAACTCATAACTTTTTTATACTTTCTAGTGAGTCAAAAGTGAGCAAATGTTATGATCGAAAAAATTTTCGATTACATGTTAATTCTCGAAAGTTTTTCAACGAAAAATACTCATCATGAGATTGTTCTCATGAACTTTACTTACGAGGGAACGCTTCCAAGGGATTAAAAGCTTTTGAAGTGATATTTTGTTCATAGATCGAACCTGGTGAGACTAGAAAAAAATCCAATAGAATAAGTCCCCATAGATCTTTCTTCTGGAGCTATGACCGATTTACTGGATTTTGGCCTGATGGCAAGGTGTTTAGAAAAAATTCGAATGACGAAATTTCGACCTGAAGTTTTGCTCATAGTAGGTCCCATGGCCTTCAATATGCGTTAAAAGTTTCAACGAAAACGGATCTTTCTTTCTCGAAATAACGAATGTATAAGAAAAATCGTTTTTTTTTTTGAGTTTTCAGTGAAATATGGACACTTCTTTCCAATTCATTATCTCAAGAAAGAAGGATTCATTTTCGTTGAAACTTCTAGCACATACTGAAGACCATGGAATCTATATATCGGCGAAAATTCAGGTCGATATTTCACCATTCGATTTTTTTCTAAATATCGTGTCATAGGCCGAAAGCCCAGTAAATCGGTTATAACTTCGAAAGAAAGGCCTATTAGGCTTTTTCTAATCTTACCAGGTCCTACCTATGGACAAAACATTACTTCAAAAGCGTTTAATCACTTGGTGAGGTTCACTTGTGAGACTAGAAGAATTCTTTTTTGTGCGCTGCTCTTTTTTTGAGTTATAGACGTATCAATTCCGGAAGCTTCAATTCAAAAGTAACATATCTGTAGTATTGAGAACCCAAAGATTCATGCCAATTTTTCATACCACCAATGATCAAATTTGAATGCTCAATCCGATGATTTCATTTGATTTGTTTGATAAATTAAAAAATGGTTATGGAATTGGTGCATCCCTAAAAAATACCGTAAAAACTCAGTATCTTTACAATAATAAGCTAGAGATTCGAACTCTTATCAAGATATTCATAGCTTATTCTAATTTCCATGATGTACACAGTCCTAATTAATCAGTTGGGGATCTTTCCTCATTAGCAATAAACACTTTTCTCACTCTGATTTATCTACAAATTCTTTTAATACTGTCCAATTGAGTTAAGAATTTTATCATTCAAATATTTATTCTTATTTTTGAATAATCATGATCAAGTTCGATAAAATTATATAAAAGAAACGACTTCCTTGATATGTTTCAATTCGATTATTTGGATTTTCATTAAGCACAAGAAATGAATAGAAAAACAAAAATTTTCTCCGCTTTCAACAATCCTAACAATGTATCAAGATATTTTATTTTATTTATGTTAGCAACTCCGTAAAATACTCGTAATTGGTATTCTTCTTTTTTTTTTTTTCTTCAAGCGGATATGAAGTCAGAATTGTCTTTTCCTGTTGGTAAAATAGTGTTTCAGTTAGAAATATAACTGAAACAATGTTTTCCTTTTTTCTTAGACGTGTTATAATAACTTCTTTTTTTTTTCAAAGAATAAAATTCTATATAACAAAAACTTAAGAAGCAAAAAAAACAAAGTTTGATATCTTCAAAAAATTCATTTTTTAATCAGTCAACTATTATCATTTCCTTTTTATTGATCTATTCATTTCCTTTTTTGACATTGTTCTATCTGCAATATGATTAATTATTTGAAAAAATTATTCACTCAATTTCATCTTTTATATACATATATATATATATGGTTTTTGTCTTCTTTTTTTCTTCATCTTTATTTTTTGATGGACAGATAGCACATCTTTTGTCTGTTTCTTTGACAGATTGCACACTTACATCAATTCTCAAGAGATAATTGTAAACTATAATATGACAATAACCAGAATAATCATATATATTATTCTAATAATTCGAATAGTTTAATATATATTTATATATCTTTATTTTAGTAAATAATCAGAAAACTATTGAAAATCAATTGGGTATACGTATTATCGATTCTGGTATTGGTAATCCTAATCAAGTAAGAGATAAATATATATATATATATATATATAGGAAAATAAAATATCAGAAATATTGAGCAGTATGTTAGTAGTGGCTAGTGATTGCAATTAAAAGATGCCTTGAGGGTTAACGTTGATACTTGACTCTTTTTTTTTTTGCTCTTGTCGAGCGAGATGCATCATGTATGTTGTGTATATACTATCAGACAGAATACAATGACAGTATGAACCTCTCAGACATACGCAGCGGGATGATCTATAAATGATGAATGATGTTGAACAATACTATATAACATTGAACAGTAAAAAAAAAAAAAGAAAAGAAAGCTTTGTTATATCTTCTTCCCTATTGTTTAAAGAAGGGAAGAAAAAAAGAAAAGAATTGCTTCTCATTTTTTTTCTCTTCATACAAAAAAAAAAAAAAAGGAAAAATATATAGATGAGATAGAGATGCATTTCTTTTTCTTTTATTATGCATAGAGTAGATTAATTACAAACAGAATATGTTAAACAGTATACTTCCAGTTTCTGTCGCATCATCATTTCGGTAAGTTAAATAGAATTTTTTTTTTTTCATTGACAAAGTGATTCTGTACATATCAAACATATAGAAATAGATAAAACGAAGAATTCTAACAATATTATTGATTACATTGTTATTCATTTCAGATACACAAATGCTTTTATTCTTTCTCTCTCGTTTTGGTTTTTTGCTCTATAAAAGTCAACAAATAGATGGAATGAACAGTAGAAAATTCTATTGAATATTCTTTTTATTTATATGCATATGTCTGTCGGTATGACTCGTCTATGGATAGTTTGAGCAAATCAAGCACGCTAACAAAGATTGAATGTCTATTAGATTCACACGCAAATGCATGCATAATTGATAATTCAATGCAACTACTATTTCATAGTCTAAGTTTTTTTTTTTTTTTTTTTGGTTGTTAGTAACCAACTTATTAACGCTACAGTTGAAAATAAGAGAGAGAGAGAGAGAAAGCTCTTCAGTTTTTTTTTTACTTAAAACGTTTATATAATTATGTCACACCTTTTGTGTTAAGATCGTAAGTGGAAAAATAAAAAGACGTTCAATATAATAGGATTTCTCCAATGAAATAAAAGATAGAAATGTTAATATACATAAATAAAGGCAAAAAAGAAGAAGAAGAGAAATTTTCTTTTTTTTTTTTTTTTTACTCTTTTAAAAGGGTACTAAATTATCAGCTGAACGACAAAATGGTTCATATTTGGCAATTATTACATTGGTTACTTGTGTTTGGATTCTCTTTATTATGGGTTCATTTGCTGTACTTTATTTTATTAAACGTAATGATCGTATTCGAAATAAAATTGCTGAAATAACACATATTAAAGGTTTATCAACAAATTATTATCAAGTAAAAAAAAAAAGTTTTTAATAAAAATATGAGAAATAAAAAAAACAAAAACATTATGTTTTTTGTTTCAAAAGGATTTATGTCGACAACGTATGAAAGCACAACCAACACGTCGTACATCATCAGAAATTCATCCAACTCATCAATTCAATAATCGTGTTAAACGTACTAGTGAAGATTCATCATCACGAAGTTCAATATCATCATATACTGATGAACCTATAACATCTGTTAATATGGATATAATGACAGGACATTTGATTCTAGTTTGTAGATTTTTATATTTTTTGTATTTATTTGATTAATTTATTTTTAGTCTTATATGGAAGATCATCTACGTAATCGACATCGTTTAGAATCTGAATGGGAATCATTTTCTACCGATAAAATAAATGAAGAACAAGCATCATGTTCTGTTGCACTTTTAGAAATTAATGAAAAAAAGAATCGCTATATGGATTGTATACCATGTAAGTTAAATGATCTTAATTGTGACCTTTTCATTAAAGTAATGATTGATATATATGATTGTACATCAGTTGACATTTATTTCCTCTTACTTTCACTTGTCGTCTACTTTTCTTTTCTTTTTTTGTATTATATGTATGTGTTTTATCCGTACCGCTGCCATCGGGTCACATATGTTAAATATAACTATCCAAAAATGTCTCTATCATGTTTATATATAGATGTACGTAGAGGCACTTATATAAAAGAAAGAATAAGAAAAGAAAAGAAAGGTAAATGTTAGTTCCGCTTGTCTTTCTTTTTCTTAGTATCATTAATTAGAGCTGATAATCGAAATTCGAGTAGGATAACTCCTTTTAGTTTCCTTTTTCCATGCATGCATAAGAAGATTTGTTGTGTGCATGTGCTTCAATACTATCTCAGAATTCAAATTGAAATATCATCATCAAGAAAAGCATCTTACATCGGTTTTTTTTCCCTCCTCTTTTTATTTTACAGATGATCATACACGTATTCGACTTGCAAACTATGACGATAGTGATTATATAAATGCAAGTAAAATTGTAAGTTTTTAATAATCATATCAAAGTTTAATACAAAAAAAAACAATATATTTCTATTTTATTTTATTAGACTGATTCGGCTCCAAAATGCAAATACATTGCAACACAAGGTCCAATGCCAAATACAACAAATGCATTTTGGCAAATGGTTTGGGAACAAGGATCATGTGTTATTGTAGCATTGACTCGACCTAGTATAATGAATATTTGTTTTTCAATATGAAAATTTCTAATTATATGTTTGTTCTTTTCTTTTTTTTTTAGTTGAAAATGGTATTACAATGTGTCATCATTATTGGCCAGTTGAAGGTTCTGAACAATATAATGATTTTGAAGTATAAGAATTAATTAAAAAAAAAAAGAAATTTAATTTTATATATATATATTCAAAGGTTAATCTTGTTTCGGAACATATTTGGTCGGATGATTATGTTGTTCGAAGTTTTTATTTAAAAAATATTCAAACAATGGAAACACGTACTGTAACACAATTTCATTTTTTAAAATGGGATGAATTGTGTAATCCACCATCGGCTAAAGCTTTACTTGACTTTCGACGGTATGTATGATTAAACAAGAAAAAAAAATATATATATATTTAAAAAGAATTAACAACTAATTGTACTATGCTTATTCATTTGTTTAAAATTAATCAGAGATAAAAGAAAGAATAATTAATTACTTGAGATACAATTACAAAATGAGTATGCATGCACGTGATTAAGTTCCATTTGCAGGTCTTTATAAGAAAAAAAAAAAAAAAGAAAGATAGATGGAAACAAATGATGAAGAAAAGAAAACTACTTTTTTCTTGTTGTCTAAAAAGATTATAACAGAAAAAGAAAGATGAATGTTATTTTCACGTCTTTCTTTAATTAATAGACATTTATATGTACTATGTAAAAAAAAAAAAGAAATTGTATTTCTCTTTAGGCAGCTTTTGAAAATTATGCAATTTGAAGATTGATAATTGCATAGTGACAAAAGCGACCTAATGAGAATTTTATCTATTGATATAATTCTATATTCCTACAAAAAAGAAAAGCTTTTTTTTTTCTACTCTTTCCTTTTATATATTTATAGAAAAGTAAATAAATGTTTTCGTGGTCCATCATCACCACTTATCGTTCATTGCAAGTATGTATTTATTTTATTGATAAAAAGAGTTCTTCATTTATTTATTATAAAAGTGATGGTGTTGGACGTACTGGTACATATATATTACTTGATATTGTCTTAAATCGTATTTATAAAGGAACACGAGAAATAAATATTGCTGCTACACTTGAACATATTCGTGATCAACGACCTAAAATGGTTAAAACAAAAGTATGAAGAAACAACATTTTTTTTTCTAAAGAAAATAAAAACAAAATCAAATTTTTTTCTTTGTATTTTATTTAGAATCAATTGGAATTTGTCTTCGTTGCTGTTGCTGAAGAAGTAACCGAATTATTAAAATCATTATCCCAATAAGATTTAAAAAAACAAAAAAGTTCATTCATGTCAATAATAAGATTCTGATTTTTTTCTCTTTATTTTTTGTCAAATGAAAAAAAAAAAAGAACATTTATCAATGATGAATAAATTGAATACATAAGATTATATGAAGAGTTTTTACAAGGAATATTGCACGAACAAATTTAATAAAAATCAATTCAAATGTATCAAAAATTTGTTATATAGACATATACCGAACTCATATGTTCGAGTTCAGTCTTGACTGCGATCATTTTCAGTCAATTAATCTAAGAAAGTAGAAAGGAGTTTGGCTATGGTAGATCTGCACATAGTGGAATAAATGATTCAAATATTGAAGGTCTCCAGACATACTAAAGAATGTCAACAATGTGTAGAAATAATTGAAAGCGAACGTTAGAGTGCTTCTATGTTTGTTCATATACCTTAAGAAATGCTTAGGCAATTGCCCAAATATCCGATACTTTGTGATATTTTGCTTATAAGAAAGATTTCGTGAAACTAGAAAAAGCCTAGAAGAATTTCTCTCTAGAGGCTTTCTTGATGAAGTTATGACTGTTTAATTGGATTTTTGGCTTATGGGAAAGTATTTATAGAAAAATCAAAAAGTAGGTATTTCCATCTGAATTTTTGTAAATTAATGGGTCTCTTGATCCTGAATATCTCAATCAAAATGAATAACTCCTTTACGAAATATTGAATATTCAAAAAAAAAAAAAAGTCATAAAGCCAACTTTTCTTTTAGTATTCAATGTATTGAGAAGAAACTATCTGCTTTGGTTAAAATTTTCGTGATATTCTTAAGGATCAAGATACCTATTTATGGACAAAAACTCAGATGAAAATTCCTTTCTTTTTTGATTTTTCTAGGAGTACCTTGATGTTAGCCGAAAATCTGATAACACAGTCATAACTCTATAGGGAACGCCTGTAGAGAGAAACCTTTTCAGGTTTTTATTAGTCACACTGAGTCCTACTTATGAGCAAAATATCACTTTGATCGGCGATTAACAATTCGATATATTTCCTTGTGAGCCTTTGATGAATCTAGTAAGCCGTTGACGTTATCTCTTAGCTTCATAGACATCTACCTGTAATCCAATAAGTAACAATCTAAGAAAATTCAAGGAATTTATGCAACTCAAGTTACTGATGAGTACCAGGGCTTCGCGTGGAATAGGATAGGACAAAAAGAATTGTCCTATAGGGTGAGCTACCACAAGCCGTCCCATGTGGAATGGGACGCAAAATTTTCTCAACATATCCATTATTTTCATTGATGATAGGTGAACGAAAAGTTTTGAGACACAATGTCCCTTCATTTTTCGATTGATTAAAACGGTAAGCAGAAATTTTTAAATCTTGAGTTAACATCAGAATTATGTGTTCTTTCGCAATCTAAGTTCAGAATTTTTGTGTGACTTATAAGATAATAGTTATGAGTTAGTATTTGAAAGATCTGAAAATAAAGTTTGGATCAGTTTTAGTGAACAAAAACCATCTAGGATGGAATTAAAATTTACTTCAAACAACATCAAACAGAAGAAGAAATATTTCTCTACAGAATGATATCCTAGTTGTTAGTTTTCCGTAACACATCTATAAACAATGAGAGTTTTGAACAGAGTCACACGACATTTCAACAATTCTGTGATTCCCAGAGTTACAAAATGAACTCGGTCATTTCTGGAGAATTGCTGCGAGATCCTCTATTCTTAGCACAGTAGTGTCCTTCATATTGTACAAAAAATTGCTGATTAAACATATACTGTAGGGAACATCATTGCTGACAAGGATATCTACTATTTAAATGCTAATCCAGAAAATCTTCAAAACTTGATGCAATCAAACAAAAGGAAGTGGAACTAAGTCAAATGGGCGTCTTTACGACAGATTTTGTCTCCAAACTTTCAGCCTTCTCACTACCTACTCATTTCATTTTGTATTTCACAATTTTATCATAACTTAAATTCACATTTCTGCAAGAAAGACGTCTATTTCGAAAAAAATTGTATTGTCTTTACAAAAAAAAGAGATTGTTGTAAAAGACGTTTGTTTCATGAGATAGAGTCCTTTGAAAGCCTTACATGGGATGATTCTGAAAAATTTCCGCCTCATCCCATCCCATGAAACGTTTTTCAAAAGAATTGAATCTCATGGGACCGATGGAATCGTTGTAATGACAAACTGGATTGAATAGTTTACCACCATCTACGATAATGGTGTTTATTTAACTACATACAACACACATTTATGTAGGAGAGAGAGAGAGAGACGAGCACAAGGAAGAACAATAGAAAGAGATGAACACAGGAAAGAACAATAGAGTTAAGATAAGAAGGAAAGAGGAAAGAGAAGTCAACAGGAGGTGTTATTAATATCGGCACAATCATTCCATCCTACGTGCGAAGCCCTGATGGGCACAGCATGAACTTACTGCATAGCTCACTAATCCGATGCGGATAGCGTAATTTCGATAGAATAATGTATAGCGAACTTATTTTAGAATAAATAAAGTAAAATTCTATTTTTAACATGATATACTTTGAAAATTATTGATGATTATACTTCGTGCACTTACACTTAATTTAATAACATACAATGTTATTATCCAGTGACATCTATGTCAGAACACAACAAATATTGAAAAGACCTATTTTACTATATTTCGGCTTTATCCTCTATTCAAATTTTGAAAACGTGAAGCTACAGGCTTTGCCATCGAACGGTTAAATGACCACATTGCTCAATTGAATGCTCGTTCAACCGATTCAATCAATCAGTCAAAGAGTGAAGATAAGATATGATAGATAGAAATCAAAAATGGCGTCGCCACATTCGAGAATGTTTTTGTTTTCAAGTACAATAATTCAAAAACTTGATTAGTTTAACATAAATTAAATAATTTACTAAAATTTTATAATTAATTAAATTAAATTAAATTTTTAATTTCTAATTAACATATCAATTTTTTCATTGCTTCAGTTTATTAACAAATGAAAATACAAAAACTACCTAATGACGTCATATGAATGTAAAACTGTCAGAAAAAAAAAGATTGTTTGTTAAATAATCATAAAACTTTCATATTTTCTAAATCTAAGAAATATTTTATTGTAGAATTAACAAAATTAACTTATTTTTATTTTACAACTTTTTTTTTGTTTTTCATAAAATTTAATATTCTATTTCAAGCATGTTTACCATTTTGAACATATTTTATTTTAATGGAAAACAAAAATCATATACATATGTCAAATGTTTCATCATTAATTAATAATTCAAATATTGAAACAAATATATCTCCAATATCATTTGTCATATCAACTTCTATAAATCCTTCAACATTATCATTAGATCATACAAAATCAAATAAAATCTATTCAGAAAATCTTGTTATTACTCAACCAACAATCAAGTATAGAAAACAAAAAAGAAAGGGGGAAAGAAACCAAACACTTATTATTTTGTTTTTATTTATTATTTAGTAAATTATTAAGTGAAACAATAAAACAAGAAGAATTTGAAAATAAATCTCTTGAAGAAGTATATTCAATAGGAAATCTATCAAAAACAAATATCATTCAATTATTATCACCACCAACAACCGGTTATTTAATTGTTCTCTTTTTTTTGTAAAATCAAAAATCAATCATCATATGTTTTTAATTTCTTTTTAATAGTTACAACTATTCATCTTCAATCACGTGAAACTTTAAATACTATATCAACTATTCCAATGACAAATACTAGTGGTCATCTTATGTCAACATTAAATCCAGCTCATTTATCTGACAATGTTGGATCATATTTTGTTTCAGGTATAGAAATATTTCTTTTTCTTAATTACAAAAAGATTTAGTTTTGTTTTTTTTTTGCTCAAATAAAGAAAATATTGAAAAAAGTATCATATACTCGGTTAATATTATTGCATAAGAAATATTTTTCTGTCAATAACATGTGAAATCTAGAATATTTTAGATTTCTATTTTGAACTTAACAAAAAACAAAAAATTCAACAATAAATATCTGAGAATGAATGAAAATTAAACTATGGAATTTTTTGTTGGTTTTATTTTTAATTTCGTCTATATCGTAGAACTTCAACTGGTGTCACTTTTCAACTTCTTCATTCAAACTCAAATCTAATAGATGTATAATTTCAAGCTCTATCAATTTATAAAGATTTTCAGCAGTATAGTTTAGAAAATGCTTTTTTTTTAGTAAAACTTAATTTAAACAAGTCATAGCCTAAATGATTGATTTTTCTGAATGCTCTATTAGAATATTGAGATTTAGTACTGTGATTATGTATTTTTCAATGATAAGTTTCTACTTTTCTTTTTGTTTAATTTTAGGTTTAAATGATCTAGGATCAAATTATAAATTAAATCCATCATCAAATACTGATTTACCATCTCCATCATCTTCATCTAATTCTTCAAATCCTCCATCATCAAGTCAACAACAACATCAACAACAACAACATCAACATCATCAAGTAAGACGACATGGAGAAGGTAATGATCCAACACGAAAACGAGAAATGCGTTTACAAAAAAATCGGTAAAATTTTTTGTTTGTTTTCTTTTTTCTCTTTTTTTTTTTTTGTATATTCATTCTTATCATTTCATTTTTATTTTTAGTGAAGCAGCGCGTGAATGTCGTCGTAAGAAAAAAGAATATATAAAATGTCTTGAAGAACGTGTAGCTGTACTTGAAACTCAAAATAAAGCATTAATAGAAGAATTAAGACAATTAAAAGAACTTTATTGTCAACGAGAAGAAACAAATAATAAAAATAATTCTAAAACATCATCAACAACAACAACATCAACACGTTAAAGATTAGAACAGTATTATTATTATTATTATTATTTCTTTTTTCTTTATTAATCATACGTATTTGTTGTGCAACAGTGTGTATTTTTTTTTTTCTTTTTGTTTGCCGTGTTTATATTTTTCATTTAATGTGATCTGTTTTGTATTTGAAAACTTTCTATTTGTGACAATATAAAAGAAAAAAAAAAAGGACATTATGGTGTATTTCTTTTTAATTTTGTCCATGTAATATTTCTTTTTCTATTCACTTATTTTAGACATGATTATCGACGAAATTTAAAAAATCGTAAGTCTTTCTGAATCAAAAGATTAATTTTTAATTCAATATTCTTTTTTTTTCAAATAACGAAGCTTAGAAAAGAAAAAAAAAGAAACGTACACTTTATTTTAAAATCCATATTCATTGTTTTTTACAAAAGATCGTATGATGAAAATAAAAGAAAAAACAAATGACGATTAATTTCGATTTAAATAAATAACCATGTAATGGTGAGTAGATTCTATACATATGTTTAAGTCGAATTCGTTTATACGATTAACCTGTTCGTTGTATATAATCGGTTTTAACTTTAATACTTGAAAGTGTTTTCCTATTGAAAAACATTCTAACTAAATTAGAAAATTATTGTACTTTCAAAATTTACTAAAATAGAAAATTTATAAATATAGAATCATATTGTTTTTAACAAAAGCCTAATAAGAATTCATAAAATTGAGTTTTGTGTTAAACACTTTTATTTTTAATATTCAGCTATTTCTTTCTGTCTTTTTTTTTTTACAATTCTTATATTCTACGCATATCTTTATATTACTTCTTCAATGCTCATTTAATTTACACACTACTTTGATACATTCAATAGATTACTTTAAGAATTTCAACTTAAAAAAACATTTAATTAACAGAAAAGCTTTTTTTTTTTGTTCTCTGTTAACGATCCAACGTCACTAAACTTCTTTATAATAATCATTTGAAAAAGAACTGTTTCATATATTATGCATTTTAATTCCTCAACAACAACACTCAATGATAATAGAGTTTAAATAAACGTTCTTATCATTAACATGCTCTAACAAAAAAAAAAAACAAAAATATTTTTTTTTTGATAACATTTCATTTTGCATTCTTTGTCATGTTCTTCATAAAAATAATTCTATTTTTATTATTATTTTTCTTTCCTTAGTATCATGAGTATAACTATTTCATCTGGTTTACATCGTTCACATTCTGATCGTGACCTATTATTAAATGAACGTCGTTTAACTCGTGCTCGTTTAAATAGTTCATCATCATCATCAAATCTTGCATCATTATCATCATCATCAAATGTTCATTCTAATACAACAACAGTATCATCATATTCAACATCATCATCATCAACACCAGCATGTCTTCCATGGGATCGTTTACAAAAATGGTTATATGGTATTGCTATTGTAACATTTGATCTTGAATTAGGACAATCAATAGAATATCTTTTACCAAATCATTGTAAATTAACAGATAAAGAAAAATTAAATTTATCTTATTTATCATTTCCTGATACAAATTCAACATGTCTCGGTGATTTTCAATATCATTTTCGTATAAATCATGAATCATTTAATTTAACAACTGATTATCAATATTATAATTCAATTGTACCATCAGCATTACAAGTTGATAATAATTCATTATTTGGTTTTGTTAATTTTCGTCAAATACACGATAAAACAATAAAACGTGGATTTTTTCAAAAATCATTTGTTATTTTATCAAAATTACCATTTATTTCACTTTTTTTAAATATTGTTAATCAACTTGCTATAAATTATTTTGAATATGGTTTAACAAGTTTAGAAACATGTTGTCATTCAATGGATTGTCAATGGCCAGAACCTGAACCTGGTAAAACATTATTATTACCTTTATTAGATAGTGTTCTTCAAGTACGCATTCCAACACATGGTGATAAACCATTTTCATCATCAGATCTTATACAATTTCGTTCAATTGTTAATGAAACAATGACAACAAATATAAATAGTAATAATCCTAATCAAAATCAGTCATTTAAATTTCCTCTCGATGATGATATTGAAATTGATATGCCCACAAGTAATTTATCTGAACATGAAGTAAACAAAATATTCATTTGTTTGTCTTTTTTTTTTTTTTGACTAAATATTTGATTTAGATAACAAATAATAATAATACAACTGTTGAATCTGTTACAAAAAATGAACAACAACGACAACAACAACAATTACCATGTCTGATACCATTTGTATATGATGTTAATACATATCAATCATTATTATGTGTTTTAACACATATTCAACTTTTATGGGAATTAGTTTTACTTAATGAACCAATTGCAATTCTTGGAAAATTTCCAACAAAATGTTCACAAACTGTTCAAGCTCTTGGTAAATTATTTTCATTGATTTAAAAAAAAAAACATTTTAGATAAATTTTTGACAAATTAAAATATGAATAAAGATAATTTTATTATAAATGAGAATGTTTTTTTTTTTTAGTAATATCTTTCAAGATTTAAATAATGATAAGTATTTGATCGAATTTACTTAGTATTGATTTTAACATTCATTAATGTTAAGAGATTTTTTAATAAAATATGTTTCGGAGTTATAGTATTAGAAAATCAATGCTCGAATTCCTATAAGATTTTTAGTTTTAGTCTTCATGATATTTTTATTCGAATCAACTTTGAGTGAGATTTAATTTGGCATGCATCAAATTCGAACTCTAGTTCGAGTTTGGAAACTATTTAGTCAGTTCAGACAGTGTCGAGTATTTTGGTAAATGTTCAAGAATTTCTTGACGTATATGAACAATCATAGAAGCATCCTATGGTTCGAGTATTTCTGAACATTACTGGCTTTTTTTTTTATTATAGCTATAGGTCTTCAGTTTTTCGATCATTCATTTCACTGTGTGTAGATCTACTATAGCCAAGTCTACGTTCGAATTCGGTGGATGTTCAGATCTGATAGATGGAGGATTTAAAATTCAAAAAATTGTCAATAAATTTGCAGAAACATAAAAATAATTTTATTCGGAAAGAAAAAGTTATTAAAACAATTACACGAAAATATATATGGCAACTAAAAAAAAAACATGGATTTGTATATCTTACCGGTCAAAATTGATTGTACACTTGACTAATAGTATCTAAAAGATGCTTTAAGCATATAGGACTGCGATTTTTAGATCAAAAATACGAACGAAGATGTCTTTTGATTTTGCTCAATATTAGTCGTACATCCTATGCATACATAAATGGAAATCATGCGGCTTTCATTTATTTTTGCGTAGGGTGTACGATCAATGTTAAGAAAAAAAAAATCAAAGGGCACTTTTGTTAGTATTATTAACCTAGCGTAGCAAGTAAACGACACAGACCGCTAATATTTTAATTAGATAAATTATGAAAATAGGACTACATTTTGGCGAAAACTGCACGTCTATCTGTTGAATTGTATCTTTAGATATACAGAAACACAGTCGTTTGTCAGGTGTGTGATCAATTTCGAGCACTACTATGTATATATAATAAATATTTCCTTGCCTAGAATATAAAACTCTGATCTTCTGTTAGATTTCAGCTGATACATCTTTCAGGAAATCTCATATTTCATTATAAGAAAGAAGATTTAGATAACAATTGTTGAATAAAGTGAATGTACACCGAGCTCATCTCTACTACAACTTAATATCTTCGTATATTCTTATCAAAATTGAATGTCTCTTCTTTTTGAATTATTTTTAGTTCATATCATATGGCCATTACGATATGCAAATGATTACCGTCCATTTTTTACAATTCATAATAGTGAATTTCATGAAATAACATTTAATTCTTCAAAAAAATCATCATTATCACCGCCAAAAATTATTCTTGGTGTAACAAATCCATTTTTTGCTAAACTTCTTCATCAATGGCCACATATAATTTGTGTTGATGATGATGATCAACAACAAAAATCAATAAAAAAACGTGAAAATTTTCTTCTTGTAGAACATGATGATGAAGATAATTTATCTGTAAATGAATTAGATGATGATATTGAATTATCATCATTATCATCATCATCATCATCATTACAAATGGAAAAAAAAATTCAAAAAAAAATTTCAACAACTTCAAAACCATATAAACCTGCTTATACATTAAATACTAATTCATCACATTTAATATTTGTTACAAAAATTGGTTTATATACAAAATATAAACCTTATTTACAACGTGATAAAATTATATTAAAAAAACTTCGATCAACTAATTCTCAACAACGTCCTGATACCGTACAAAATGCTTTTTTACGTCGTTTTTTTCTTGAATTAACACAAAGTTTTATTATACCACTTGAACGTTATTTTTCTAGTCTTTTACCATTACGTAAATATTATCATGCTAATCGTGAACCACCAATAATAAAAAAATTTGATAATGAAGAATTTCTTAAAACACTTGATCAATATGGACCACAATTAACATCAGGTTTAAAAGGTGATTGGAAAGAATTATATAAACATTTTTTAACAACACCAAATTTTCATTTTTGGTTATTAAATCGTGAACAAGAAGCAAATGCTAAAATTTATTCATTATATATTGAAACAATAGCATATTGTCGTTTAGAACAAGATTTTAATTTATCACAATTAAAAGAAATTCAAATAATTGATTTAGTTATTAAATTAAAAGATTTAATTCAATATTTAGAAACAAAAAATGATGATTTATTAATAAGAATTGATCAAAATGTAAAGAATGATTATTTAGAAAGAATTAAATTAAAAATGAAAATAATTGTTGAAGAAAAGTTATCTGATGATATGAAAACATTATTTCATAAACCAATGAGTCTTTCTTCATCATAAATTTCTCTTATTTTCTTTTAATCAATCATTGATTGCAATATTTTTTTTTTCTTTTGTCTAAATCTAAATGCTCAGATTTATTTTTTCGTTTGTGTTTTCTGTTGTTCATTAAGATAAAAAAAAAGAGAAATATTTTGTAAAAAAATCACTCAAAGTAATTATTTTTGATTATTGTTTCTTTCTTAGATGTTTAATGACAAGTTTTGATTTATATTTTAATGAATATTTACGACAAGTTTCGTACTCAAGAGTAAGGTAAGAATTTATCATTAATTCATAAAATGAATCAATTCTAATGAAAAAATCCTTTTTTTTTTTCAAAATGTCAAATTGATAGACGCTCATATGTTATTAAATCTTGGACTTTACAGATTTTCTCAAGAGAGATAGATGTCTATTATTGTATCGATGTTTTGATAGTATTGAACTTTATTTTAATTTTAATTAAACAAGTCCTCCTATACAAACTATCGTTTCAAAATTCAATGATAAGATTTTAGTATATCAATTGATTATCTAAATACAGTACATGTTCTTAATCTAAGTTCGAACAAAAAATATATATATATGTTGTGGTCAAAATTAAAATTTCAATTCTGCCTAGGCAAAATTGAAATTAGAAGTTTGTCCAATGAATTGTTAGTCAAAATTGAAATTTTAATTTTGACTGAGCAAAATTGAAATCGTTCTCTAATCAATAGAAGCAGGTAATAAAGGATAAAAAATTGAGTATAACAATTTTTTTTATTCGGAAATATTTTGTGAGCATTTCGGAGTGTCACAATAAATGAGCTCAATTCAAAAGAAATTCGGAAATATTTTCGACAAAAATAAAATCAGTACTAGTTTTATTTAGTTTATAAGAACAACTATCTCTTTTATAAGACGTTTGATCGAGCAAAAAACGGTTGAGCGACGATACGGGTGATGCTTCTTTTGTTAGCTCTTCTTCACACCCTCATCCTCACCTCATTAGAGTCCATTGAGTCATAGATATTGTAGACCCGAATTTGGTTGATTGAAGCTTCCAGGAACTCGAACCCAAACTCAATTGGTTTAAGTTTTCTAGGAACTTTCATTCATGGTAATAAGGACTTCAAACATTCTTCTATAGTTACGCAAAAAGTGAACTCTTCAGACTGCACTGGAGTAAAGGTACTTAGTTTTCTAATGTGATCATGATTTTTGAAATACTCTATATTATAGTCTATCGAATCGAAGAATTTCTAAACCCAGACTCGAATTCAGGCCCGACAAACTTGGAAATTTTTCAGACCTAGATCCTACCCGAGCCTGAGCGAGCATGGATCCGGATCCAAATGGACCCGATGAGCTCTGACTCCCACTTACACTCTCATCCCACATACTATATTCATCTTCTTCTTTTGATTAGAAAAGGATTTCAATTTTGCCCAGTCAAAATTAAAATTTCAATTTTGACTAACAATTCATTGGACAAACTTCTAATTTCAATTTTGCCTGGGCAGAATTGAAATTTTCATTTTGACTGGGCAAATTTTAAATTTGACTGAATTTTAATTTTGACCACAACATATATATATGTTGTGGTCAAAATTCAAATTCAGTCAAATTTTAAATTTGCCCAGTCAAAATTAAAATTTGAATTTTGTCTAGGCAAAATTAAAATTTGAATTTTGACTAACATTATATTGGTCAAAATTAAAATTTGAATTTTGCCTAGACAAAATTAAAATGCTGCTATAGTCAGTATAGACAAATAAAATGTTTGTACCTCTATTGTTCGTTTTTCTCTCATCTGTTGATTACAGTTATATATTTGTTGAAAACTATTGTTAAATAAAAATTTCTTGGTACTACAACTGTATGTCTTTCTTCATCTTCTTTTACTGACTATAACAGCATTTTAATTTTGTCTAGGCAAAATTCAAATTTTAATTTTGACCAATATAATGTTAGTCAAAATTCAAATTTTAATTTTGCCTAGACAAAATTCAAATTTTAATTTTGACTGGGCAAATTTAAAATTTGACTGAATTTGAATTTTGACCACAACATATATATATAAAATTAGAGGTATGTAGCTATGTGGAAGGGTGGTCAATATACATAACGTTATGCTCCAAATGATTCTATTAGTTCAATGAATTGTAAGTTGCTACAAGAGCATATAACATAAACTTAATTGTTAAATATGAAGTAAAACATTGATAATAATTTTCAAATGAATCGATGGTCTCAATTCAAAGGTAGAACATATATTGTATATGTAAATAATCAATTGACATGCTAAATAAAGACTTGTCTTTGAGCTTTGAAACAATTATTTATACTGTATAACCTACTACAGTTATAAATTTGAGTTCGATCATCATTTATTTAGTTCAAACATTGAATAAAATGATATTATAGATTATTAAAAGTTTAAATATATTTTTGAAGGTCTAAATAAGAAAAAGCATTCGACTGATTCGATATTTCCATAGAGAATATCCTATTATATATCAGCTGTTTATACTAAATAAAACTCTATTGTGTTATTTCTAGGATTTTATATTACTCGTGAATTAGACGAAAGAAAAAAAAAAAAAAGAAAATTCCATATTTATTGTAATATCAAAAGAAAATAACCATACATCAAATTATCTATTCAACTTATATATAATGAAAAGTTGTCCGATAGTTCAATACAAAACACATTCAACATTAAATTCAACATATGAATGTATTATACCAACAACAGATGAACTTAATTATGAAACAAGTCAAGTTAAATGTCCACATAATGAAAAAAATCCTTCATTAGAAAAATGTCAAAAAATATTTAAAAATATTATGGCACTTAATGTACATCTTCAAATGTATCATAAAGAAACAGGCATAATAACTGTTAGTTAATTAATAAATTTATTTTCATAAATAAACATTTATATTATATATATATATATAGGCTTCAAATAATTATACATCACGTATCGGACGATATCATTGTCCGATAGAAGATTGTATATTTTATTGTCGTTGTAAAAAAGATCATATACAACCATTATCATTTTCAAATTTTAATGCTGTACGACTTGTAAGTGAGAAATAAGTTTTTTTTTTGATTTTTAATGAAGAATTTTATATCATAGCATTATTTACGACAACATGGTTTAAAAAAAGAACAATGTTCAAAATGTTTAAAATCATTTGGTCTTCATCAAGATTTAATTGCACATGAAAAAATGTTTGTATAAATAAATTTGAGATTTTGTTGTTGTTTTTTTTTTTTTTCTTTTTCAAGAATGAAATCATTTATAGATAGATATATCATTTTGTTTTTGTATAGTTGTGGTGTTCATTGTCCATTTTCTTGCTCAAATTGTGATCAACAATTTCAAAATCGAACAAGTTTACGACGACATCAATTAAAATATCATTCCGATATTAATAGTGAATCTCAAAATAATCAGAGTGTGATCAAGTAAGAAAAATATATAATTAGAAAAGTTAACTTTCGAGAACGTTTCTAATTCGTTGAAATAAATTTATTATTTAAATCAATCATAGGACTCTTATTCTCCTTCGCTAAAAGGAACTTTTCTTGATAAATGTCAGATGATGACAATCTTAAAGGGAACCGAAAACTCAAAAATGTCTGGAAAATTTGTTGTTTTATTTTGGCGAGATTTTCTATTGTATTCTTCTCTAGTAAATTCCTCTCCCGCAATAGAAGACTCTGTGTTTTCTATTCTTTCCAAACGCACAAATTTACTAAAGTAGTCTTCTTTTGATGTTCCATTTATTTTCATGAGTTTTTAATTGAAAGAATTTTTCATAGTATTAAAAGCTTAGAAATAATGTTGGTCTTAGTGTCTGTTAAGGTTTTTTTCATCTCAAAACTCTGAAAACTGAGCATATTTTGATTTAAATATTCTAATTGAAGTTCCAGTTTTGAGAGAAATTAATTATTTAAAAGAAGTCTTCTATTATGGAGAGCAGTTTAATAGAACTAGAATAAGGATGTGCAGTTCCAGTTTACTGATCACTGAATTATGAGGGGAATATTTTCAATTGATTAATCGTTTCCTCATTGAAGATTAATGGGTTGTAGGTTGCTTAGGTCTTTATATACTGATTTTCTAGACTGACAAAATTTTTGCTAAATTTTTTTAATCTGTCCCAATCATAGAATATATCAAAATGCCTCGAAAATAGTCACGTTTTTTTCTGTTTCGGATCGTTGTATTTTGCAGAAAATATGATCATTTTAAATCATATAGCAGATACATAACATTAGACAACAGAAAAGATTATTGACTTAGGAACAATTCGATATATTCTATAATCTAAGTAGATTACAAATGATTTTTAGAAAAAAATGGTTTTTGTTCTAGAAAACTATAATATAAAAGCCCTAAAGAAATTTCTCATGTCCATATTCAGAATTAGTGTGGTCGATAACCTATAATTCGATAGCTTCTGGTGAGAAAAGCGATTGATCATTTGAAAACGTTTTCTTGTCAGTATAATTAGTGCACCATGGTACCAGTGTGTACTGAAGCACTTGAACACATCACCACAAAAAAGGCATATTTTGATAGAGAGTTGGTGTCTCAATGTTTTAGTGAACGCGGATATCAGTGTAATAAGTGCTTCAGTGTAAAGTATTTACACCAACACCACACATCCCTAAATTAGATACGATAGCGAAGACAGATATACTCTCAAACGTGTGAGGTATTCTTTCGATAAGCTGTATAACTTATGAAAAGGCTGTCTGCTAAATTTTGCACTGTTTCTCTGTCAAGTGCAAAATTAATTGTCGATAGTTTTACATGAAACTGGAACCGAGTCTACAATCTTTTTTCATCCAAAAGATGCGTTCATTTGCTCGAATGTTGGTTTTTCGAAATTTTCGACGTTGATATGATGATCATCGATATACTGTTTCTCTCAAATATAAGATTGCCTGTTGAAACTTTTAGAGAAACCATCTTTTAAAGTTTGATCTCGATATATTGAACTATCACTGAATT